CATTCGATGAAAATTTTTCGAATGACCCAAGTATACTGCCCAACCGTGCCTTTGAAGGTAATATCTCACTAAAATTAAGGTTGCGCGCGTTTTCACATTTTTACTATAAGTCCCGCTAGGTAGGCCTTTGCAAGAAGTCTAACTCGATTTCACTCTCTCTACGGTGAAAATGCGAACCACAACGGCGGTTCGCACTACCGAGCGATGTGGTCCCGAACGTGCTTCAACAGGTTCTTTCATTCAGCACCCAGCTTTCCAAAGTGGCTGTCACTATGGCGGGAGCTAAGGTAAAAGGCACAACTCGTTGCTTCCGCGGGCCTTGGAAAAAACAGGGTTTCCAAGCATTTTATGTTTGGTTTCTAATTGCGTAGGTTTACGCGTCGCTTGTGATACGCAAAAAAACCCCTGACAATCCTGAGAGACACTGCCTCTAAGCGCATGCGGTCCCTTCACGATCGATTCTGGTTGCTGATTGACACTTTCCATTGGCATTTTGGTTGCTTTTTCACTAACTGCTCGTTTTGAGCGCTTGTTCTGGGAGGTACTATCCGCGCCTTAAAGGTAATTTAAGCTGCGAAGTATAAAGGATTTGAGACGAGTGTGACAGTTCAACAAACACTGTAGGATTAGAGTCGACCTAAACAACTTTATTAGTCCATCGCTTACAGGTCAGGAAATTTCACAGCTTGAGTTCAGCTTGGCATGAAGCAACACTACAATCTTGGACGGCAGATTAGGCGACGTTACATCGACAAAGGATTCTTGTCTAAAAAATATTCTGCAACAGAAGTTGGACCTGTTTCTAAGTTTACTGCAAGATTGGATAGCAGATTTTCCTTTGCTAAACATGTAACAGATGCTTCTTATCTCACAGATCTATGTACGCTCGACTGACTACAATAGGACGATTATCTCAGCAATGTCGAACCTGATGGGCATGTACGGTTACAACCATAACCACAGCGTCCCAGGAATCGATTACCCGGAAGTAGAAGGCTGGCCTGCAGAATATGTTCCTATAGCGGTCCACGTTGCTGAACGCAGCACTGACCACGTGGGCTTTTTGAAAAATTGAATTTTAAACAAAATCAACATTGGGCGACTATGATACAAAAATTTTAAAAAAACTAGTATTTCCTACAATGTTATGCCGGATCCAGGTTTGCACGATGATGAAATTTGTTGATATTCAATAAACTGACGCGTTCTAACTAAATTGTGATCTTTTAGAAGTCCGATGGTAATTGTGGGGTGGTCGTAATTTTGTTACAGCGAAAGAAATCGGATGCTGCTGAAGGAGGACAGATATCAAAATTGACTACATACCACTTCACTTCGTGGATCATTTTTTCCAAATCTAAACGCCGCCATCAAAGTTGAAACTATTTGATCTACACCAGGACCGTAATTATCTCATGGACGCGACTACGGAGTCCCCAAGCCAAAGCTCAACTTTATTTCGCAAGCGTCAATTCATTTGCGGCTACCTTTATATCACAAGCATACGCGAGCTGATACATGCGTCAGATCACGATTACTTATGATATAAAAAAGGCAGATGAATTAATGGTTTGAGAAATGCAACTGAGATGAGCTTACGCTGCGACCTTGCACGTCATGTCCATGAAGGGTTACTACGGCCTCCCAGATTACTCAGTACATCTAGCTAAGTATTGAGAGGTGTCCATAGATGGCTCTGTCGTCTACTTCAACATACAAAGACGAGCATAAAAAATCAAATAAATAAACAAATAAAGATATAATTAGGCCCAAGATCTTCTAACTCTGCAACTGCTCTATAATCGTTTTTTTAGATAAAAAAGAGCTAAAAAATTATCCCTAAAAAGGAAATTTCTATCTGGTTAAATGAGAAACGAGATAAGGCTTGCGTAGGGCGCATAGCAAAATGACGAACAGGAATGAAAAGTGGGAAGTTGTGGTTATATCTGTTCGTAATTCAAATCGAATCCAAATCTGTTTCTGCGAATTATCCTGTACTTAGCGCATTGCGTGTAGGAGGCGTGATTAGCTTGAAACTTACGTACAGTGAGGCCGTGACCTAAGCGAGCATTGATTTAAAGACCTGCTAATGCGCATATTCTCACGCGAGTGCTACTAATTGTCTGAGGTAGCTGTAAGAATTATGAAGTGGTCGTGAAGAAAATGGCATTACTGTGTTTTTGAACTTCACATTACAGTACATCAAGGGAGGATTTTGCGACAATGACCCTGTTATCAACGACAGTTGATCAAAGTTTTTTGACTAATTACCGCACTAAATTTCAAAAAAGTTTGTTAAGGGTTGCAACATGTTTCAATGAAGTGTGTTCCAATACAAATGCTCGTGAGCACCAAACAAATCAACTTACTAACGTTCCCTTCTACCTGATGAGCAGCTCATTTGGCATAGGTATTAAACAGGTCTGATATGTCTACCGCTGACTTCGACACAAGCACTTGATTTTTTACGCAGAAATTCTACGTTGAAAGTGATAGTTCTCGTTTGCTTCTAGGGCAGAGGATTTGCCATGATTTGGAAAGCTGAAAGGAAAAAGAAAAGCAAGCTTTTAAGGGCGCTCAAATATACGGCTGTGACACGCATTAAAGAAACACCCTAACCTTGCAATTCTCAAAGTATATTTGTACGGTACTACTCTTATTTGAAAGTATTGCCTGAACCTGAAGGACCAAAAATATAGTGGAAACAAATAACATTTTTGCAAAAGGAAAAAAATTTCTTATAGTACGTCACTACATGTGAACCACATCGTATGACGAAAAACGTCTCAATTTTTTAGGTGCTTACCAGACCATCTTGCAAAAGGCGTGATTTGTTGCGCAAAATAGCGCAGGAGTCGGAAGAAGCGAAGGCTTATCTTACGAATCAAACTGTGAGATCCTCCTACTCTTGATATAATGAACCTTGCAACAACTTCAGGTGGTGAACATTCTTGAGAGATTGAGCACGTATTGCGGAGAAAAGGTCAACGCGGACAATATACTGAGTATACGTGATATACTTATGGTTGAGGTAAGCTGACATCATACCAAAGGTAGCTGCCGGCAAAGTGAGACATGCCGGCGGATCCCT